AAATGGAGGTTCCATGTCCTTCGCTCCCGCGCGTGCCCGTTTATTGGGTCGCGTGGATAGAGTGGAGTCGCGAGCACGTGTATGTTGGGGTCTCTCGTTTGAGGTCTGCCTGGATTCGTACCCGTGATCGGTGTGCTCCTACGGCTTCTTAACAGCTGCTTTTCCATTCGATGTTACTCGATGTGCGGGGAAAAGGGTGAATACAGTATCATAAAACTGTTCCCACGTAAGTCGAGATAGATGAAACTTTGTTTCATGTCCCTTGTCTCGAGCCTCAGTCGCGTGTTTATGTCGCAACTCGGTGTACAGGCTCTCACGGTCGTTATTCCCTGCGTTCTTACAGAACAGGTGCATAACCAGGAATTTGTACCATCGCTGTGCCTTGTCCTTTGTTATATATGGACGTTTCAGGTCAGCATCTAGCTTCAGAATATAACTCTGAATGGGCGTGTTTTCAGCTGGTTCATTTAAAATTGAAATCAGCCCTGGGCTACGCATGCCCTTACTTAACAAGGATGTAACCAACAAACACACAGCTAGCCAGTCACGACAAGTGTCTAGCTTATGCTGGTGTCGCTGCAGGATCAAATAACTTGTACCTGTAGGGTCAAACGTCTGCATTAAGGTAGAAATCCATTGCTGGGGAGCGATATCATTCGTCTCCAGCATGACCGTAAACGCATTAAGCGTATGGGTGAGCGTGTCGAGGTCATGGTTGTTTATAAACTCGACCTGCTTGCTGTTGGCATCCCAGTTCGACTTAAGTCGACTGATCTGTCCCTTGTACTTCTGGTTGTCCCTGTGGTCTCGTCCACGTTGGGCCTGAAGTAACTGATATATGCGCTTTTGCTTAATTGCAATCATATTCGTATAGTATGCTACATCACCAGCATGATGTGCATCATGGGCGATTTCCATTTTCATGGTATAATTGTCGACCGATTTATTAAGGTCGGTCACCTCGTCAGAGTGGAAATCCTCTGCGGGCTGGTGTAATGCTGTGCGATCGAAGCGATTAAACTCGACTTCGTTAACACGTCTGCGGGGGTGTTTATTACCCCTTGTAAAATCCATGGTAGAGGCCTTTCAGTGCTCTGTTCTACGGATAGCGGGTTTATTACCCCTTGTAAAATCCATGGTAGAGGCCTTTCAGTGCTCTGTTCTACGGATAGCGGTTGGTATTATAACCTTGGGAGATCTATGCGTCTGGATAACATACCCAGTCTTAACTGGTGTCCGACGGTTATCATCCCAATTGGGTAAAAATGGCGGATTATTTCTACCTGCCTCTGGGTCTATAATACCCTCGAGGACGGGTGACTCACGGCCGGGTGTCAGAACAGGCGAGTAATTAGCTTGAACTTCTGGCGGTAGTGCCGCGTAAGGTATAGAGACGCTGAGCACATCTGGATCATATACCTCAGGCGTAGAGCTTGAGTCTTTGGGCGTATTTGCCTGTCGACGTTCTGTCCACTTCTGTAGGGCTTCAGTAATGCCCAGGGGAACATGCTCGCGTAAGTGCTGTGAATGTTTTCCTGATATATGTAATTGATCTGCATGTTCGACGGTCAAGTCTTTCATATAGTGGCTATCTGATTCTTAAGATCGACGTTTTCAGTAATTAACTTACTTATGCGCGTTGGCTTAGTAGGCTTGGACGTAGATTCGGGTTTGCCACTTGAGCTTGCCTCCTCTTCTGGTTCCATAATTTTGTCCTTGTTCCCTAAAATTGGGGACGCCCTCATAATTGGGGACTTTCCTTTCTGATTTTCGTCAGAAGAATGGGTTGGGGCGTCTTGAGACGTATCTCTTGTCTCACTTCTTGGTTTCGTAAATGCAAACTTTGAAGTTGAGGCAATAGTTGGCCCTCGGGCTCTATCAGTGGGAGTAGTCTCCTTAAGCGGAGTGGCTATATCCTTATCTGCCGGTTTCTCTCTCCATCTTCTTCTTTTCAGCTTTACGCTTCTTAGAAGGAGTGTTGTCTTTCTTGGTCATAATCTTAACTTATGACTACTGGCTCGTCTCTTAAGGACTAGCTTGGACAAAGAAAAGAAAAAAATATTGTGGTAGTTATCTACCTTTACGTTCAAGTAGTCTAAGTAGTTAATACCTTTGCTAACTTTAAAATGTGTAAGATTTGGTCTATCAAAGCGATATTAATGCCTTAGAATAAATAATCGCGTAGGTAAATTCTAAGTATCGTGCAAATTTCAAAGTAAATAAACGAAATGAGACTTTTAGTAAAGTTAGGTATGCCTCGTACAGCAATACTCTGAGGGATTGTGAGGCTGAGACATTGCCTATATATAATCCTCTCAGTACTGTTTTCGCCGAAGGGATTTTATTTAGTGTTTCGTTGTCGCTCTATGAGAAACTATTGTATATTTCGTTGGGGCGAATCCGAGAGACTCATAAAATCCTATCTTTAGAAAAAAATAGTAAAAAGAAAAAGAAAATACTCTTGATCTCTTTTGTTATTATCTTAACCAATAACTTTATACTTACCAAGAATTACCGACTTAGCCTTCATCAGACTGGCACATCTGGTTGGCTGATCGGAGGTTAAACTAGGTAGCGCTAAAAGTCCCTAGAAACCCATATTCGGCTGAGCCATCTCGCTACCGAAGTATTCAGATATAAATAGATTTGGAAAGTAAATATAGTTCTGTTAATAGAGCTAGACCAAATCTTATGTTTGATATTTTACTGTGGTCTTTTAATGGCCTTGCCCAAATATATGATATGTAAAGTGGAAAAGGTATTAATTAATAAAAACGCTGAAAACCATTTAGGAAATTTAAGTTCCTCGTACTATTAAGAGTACGTTTATTTTTTACCCCCAAACTCTCTCCCCAACCGAATCATGTCGGATAACCTGGACCTACTTGATGTTTTGTACTCTGCACTAACCCATTCCAAGGCACTACACAAGGCAGACCCGATCCGTACCACAAATGTGGGTACGCTACTTAGTAGGCCAGCAAGCTGAATACGTGGCACACTCGATGGTGTCAGTTGTTTTGTCAGCACCGTCCTGAATTGACCCAACGCATACCCTCTATCATCGACTTACTTGACCCAAGCTTCATTCGGGAATTTACTGACCACTTCTTCAAATCAATCTTTTCCGAACCACTACAACGGCTATGAGAGCCATACCATATGTACATACAATGTTGTAAACTTATATCCTTTAAAATAAATAACAGTATACCTATGCTCAGTTTTTCGATAGCGTCTAGAAGTTTACAACAATGCCACATAAGCGTCCTTCTTTCAATATTTGATCATCATCAACGATTTTGTAGCGGTCGTAAAGTGTTAGGAGAGCACATAATCCATCCCTGCTTCAGCATTATTCGGTGTGACATCCGTAGACTTTCAACAATTCAATTCTTCTCCCAGTTGTGCCCCCACCATTTAGCCAGGTATTCTATGCGGTGGGCAGTATGGTCTTGAAGGGGTTTATTCATTTTTAATTTCTTTAAGTATATTACCTTCAATGTATGTTCCTCAGCGATTGGTTCACCCAATGCAACTGTGATATACATAGGCTGAAATAACCAGCAACATCCTGGTTGTCCTGCAAGCTTCTATGGGACCAAACGTAGGAAATAGTCCATCCCGTGGGACACAAAAGCTGTAGATATCGCTGCATTTACGATGCAAAATAGTTCTCACATTTCAAATGAGATCTGGATACAGGGTAGCAACTAGATCATTGCAACAGCGTGTCTCGTTGCCAGTAATCTATGTTCGGTTTCATTCTGCATATATTGACATGAGGAATCAATTCAAATTCGCTAGTAACTCACATTTTCCCACATAAACATCAAACAAACTGGGTAGTTCTGTCTTCTGACAGTTCCTTTTGTACCCAAAGTTTGATTTACCTCCTGTGTTTGAACATTATTGTCATACACAATGTCTAAACTACCAAGCACATAAAAACATAGCAAATAGTTCGTATATCTAATAGACCGTAGATGTCGCCCATTATGCACATAGCTTTGTTCCAACGCCATCTACAACCTGTATATCCGCCGCAATCATGCCAGGCTGTCACGCCGTGCTGTATGCCCATGTGCAATCTCTCACATCTTGTGCCCATAGCGTGCTCTATCTCACAACTGAATAGCAGGCTCATAGCCACATGACAATATATACCATATAGCTACTACTGTGCACAGATCTAATATACTTGCCTCCAAGGACATGAACACGTATCCGTATTGTTGGTAGTTTGTTATGCCATAAGTAACCATGTGAAAATGTATGCAAAACTTGGTATTCTTTCAATGTCAACCACTGTTACTTTCTAGGACAGTTTTCACCCAGAAAGGTACAGACTAGGGCGAATGAAATATTATAATGTCAGCAGCCAGACGCAGACGTCAGTATTTATTATAACGACTTACAGTGAAAATTGTGGCTATTTTAATCAGAAGACTAGTATAGTGAATTTTCATTGGTTGATAGGTCAACGTTGTGTTCGACTGTAAGTGACCCTACCGCATGTGTATTTTTATATACCTGCTTTCGTTTCTACGTACTACTACCTTGCCCTTTCTATACTTGTGCTAGTTCTTTCATTCCATTAACAAATATCTCTTACATCTTAGGTGCTGCACCGCGGCGCTTTCGTTGATTATTATCAATCACATCAGTACTCTCACTCTAATGTTTGGGGTCACTGTGTTGATCAGTTCCTTATCTGATATGTATCTTCTGATAAACATACATTTAAAAAAAAACATCAATAAAAAAAATCGATACACTTGCAACGGCAATTTTTTTTTAGGCTGGCACAGTGGCAGCAACACATAATGATTAATGAAGACAGCACATATTGATTAATGCAGGCAGCACATAATGATTAATGAAGGCAGAGTGACAGCAGCATATTTATAATGAAGGCAGGTAGATCATAAATAAAATCCCAGTGCATTTATCCCCCACTTAAGGTACGGCGGGCTTTCGAAAAGCTGTATAAATATACAATGCCGGCCACTGGCAACAAAGCAAAGACTGAAGTAGTCTCAGACATTTTGAATGAAGGACCAACGGGCGGAATCACCCAAAATAACGTCCTGAAGGTGTGTAAATTTTCGAGACTATGGTATACATCATAAGTAGGTGCATCTTCTACCTGCGGAATTAAATTGTTTTCAGGAATTAAGGTGGCCATGTTCCTTTTTGTCAGAAGCGCTATATTTCTTGCCGACGGGACACAAACGTGTCGTAGTGGACGTTGCTGAGATTTCCAACTTCGACGCATTCATCTTTTGGTTGTATATACGATGTAGAATGTGGAAAGTGTTGTATCGATATCCAAGAAGCACAAGAAGAAGGGCAACCGTGTTTTGCGCTTCTTCACAGCTCGATGGGGTGAAAGTAAGGTGCCCATCGGACTGACTCTCGATGCTGGCCTAAAAAATGAGAAATCTCAGGAGTATGTCGTGCCTTTGTGTATCTGGATCTGTATATGTTGATGATGATAAAGTTGTCCATATCTCATCTAAGCTTAGATGAGGTACTCAGTATTTCGCGCATTTATATGATACTTCATTGGCTCAATAAAGCAAGGGCTGTAGAACATTTCATAACTTCCTGTCTTGTTCACAGTATTTTACTACTATTGTCGGTATATTTTTTTGGGATCACTACTATGCATTCATAGTTGATATGTTTTATCAATTGTATTGATACCCTTAACAAGATAGCGTTTACCACTTCTATTCGTATATACAGTATTTATCGCGCACGCGTGTACTATCGATTACCAATACAGCTTATCAGTTGACGTGCCTGATTAGTTCCTGTATCGCAGCTATTCTGTCGCGGTGAGCTGTTGCTTGTCTACATGGCATGATATTCACACGGTAGCAACATTTTACCAGGTTGCATATTCTGCATGTTGCTCAGACACCTTCATATCGTTCTGTGTATGTTACAGAATTTCGCACATGTCATGGCTATACGATCGACGCTCGGCGTTAACCCGCATTTTACGTGACCCAGACGGCTTGGCTGCATTCCGAGCGTTTATCGAATCAGAATACACCTCCGAGAATCTGCTGTTCTGGTTGGAAATCGAATCCTTGAAGGTATGATTGCTGTACCACAATTTTGAAAGACATTGTCGAGAAAAGCTTATGATCTGTCAGTACCGTCACTGTGGGGGTTTGGTTTTGTGTAAGGAAAGCTAAACGACGCGTATGTTGTGCACAGTTTTAATATTTCAAAATGTTTACGATACTATTGTTTACACTTTGCAAACTTGGGTTTAAAACAGACTGAACAGAACCGCGAACAGCTTACGAAAATAGCGAAATTACTAATGGACAGATTCTCCAATGAAGGATCTATCAATATATCAGATCAGGAGCGTCATGATTTTGCGATTATGCTGAGGTAAAGTTGTCCCAGAATTATTTTGATATGTATCATCCGAATGATAGTGCAATTGGTATTTTTTTGTATCTGAGTGCGGGGATAGCTATCTTTTGTTATAAGGCGTTTGAATCAGACCTTGGAAGCCACTTATAGTATCTGTCCATCAAGTAAGTGATAACATTGTACAATCACAGCTCACAAGAGAGCGTTTATCGCGTGTTAGTTGTTGGTAGTGAACCCATGCACAAAATCATTCTAACGACATACTAATGTAACAAGAGTAAATTGATCACAAAGGATCGAAACTCTCATTTTAATTTAGTATCAATCGGGACCTTACTGGCATACCTGACGTACTCAAGACATTCGCAATGTTCACATCGCACTCATCAGGGATATGGTTATAAACGACACAAATGAAATCGACGATTCCGTCAGGCAGGCTACCGAGATCGAAATTAAAGATAACAGTGATGATGACATCGAATTTGCGTACGCGAAAAATTATGTTGGAGCAAGGAATGGCAATGTCAGCGAAGGCGAAGGCAATTTATTAGACACAGTGCAGAATAGTGTACTGTCACTTATGGCTATGGACTGCTTACCTCGATTCTTGGTTTGCAATACTGGAGATAAATATATCAAAAGGTACGTACCAATAGTGGCAGTATCTGGGTTGAATGCCTGCAGCTCCCGATGCGTTCAGTTGTATCTTCCGAAGTTTATGTTGCTTCTGTCTGTTGCATGTCTAGGACAGGGTTTATATCCGCAACGCCATGCATCTGATATGGAAACTAAAGATAATCGTTGATAATCGTTAATGAGTGTTGTGGCACAAAAGTACCAGTGATGCACTACAACTTATTTTATCCTCGTTTTGGCATAGTGTGATATATAATAGTTCAGCATCATGTTATGCTTACCAGGTTTGCTTCTTTCGCTATTTTTATAGTCTCACGGTGAAAAATCAGGGCGATGATAAAGAATTTGTAGACCAACTGAAAACATTCCAAGCACAAGCGAAGTCCGTAGCTAAGCCGGATTCCATACAGGAATGGCTCACAAAGTTCATATGCTTGGCCTATATGCTTCCATTCTGTGTGACCATCTCCACCCGGGTGGAGAATCCTGGAATTGCCGGCGAGTTCCCACTGTCTTTTGTCAACCCTGGTATGTCTCAAGAATACTCTCACAAACCGGGTTTGGCTTAAAGCAGCACCTAGTGTTATGCACGTATAGGTGAATGCATGGGCAGGTATGGGTGATTGTATGCGTAGGTATAGGTTACTAGTATGCTTTATAAATTTAATTTCCTGCTTTATTTGTTCATGCTTATATGTCCAGGGCCACAGAGATAAACCTAGCGAAGCATATTTATAGTACGCGCTCGCGTGTTTCATAAATTGACAGGTTGGGTTGGCCCCTTGCTAGCGAGGTACTTCATGACTCGCAAGTATTATTCTATGACCTTCCTCTGATTTTTGTTCTCAACAGTTGTAGCGTTCAAGCACGATATCTGCATTCGCAGGCATAAGTAGAAATGGATGCACTCTGTTGCATCCTTTTTATATCCACATTTCAATAATCTCTGGTACAGAATTCACCAGAGTAACAGGCTATTCGCACGAAGAGACCGTAGGACGGAATTGTCGGTTCCTTCAAGGACCATATACAGAACAGGAGGCCGTAGAGAAACTTCGAACGGCTATCAGAGATGGAACAAAGATACACACAAGCATTACTAATTATTGCAAGGACGGAGAAATGTTCAAGAACTTGCTTACACTACATCCAGTATTCAACAAAAAGGTGTGTGCGATCATACAGGTGCTGTCATGTGTAGTGTCTAATAACGTCCGTAGCAAAGCCACTCAGCATATGATTATTACCACAATGCGCTTAGAACTGTTGTCAATTGTTCGGGGTTGCATTTGTATGAACGGTCTACAAGACAAGCTCATCACGCCTATTGCAACTGTCTTAGATTTGATCAGTATGACAGTGCCTCAGGCTCTGAGGAAAGTTCGCGTCGTGTTTTGATATTTATTTTCAATACTTTTTTTTGTGTATTGCAGGGTGAACACGTATTCATCGTTGGGGTCCAGTACGACGTGTCTGAAATGACATTGGCCAAGTTTGCAGCACTTTCACCTATCTTAGATTTCATTTCCGAGAGGATGGAAGTGTGACTATGAACACTATGTCACATAACTTAAAAACCTTAACCAGCGCCTCAATAAGCAGATGAGATTGCAATCTATAGATGTACGAGAAGGCCCCTTTGCAACCGTATATTTTGTATCAACATATAAAAACCTTGTACATGTATGTGTAAAAGCATATGCATACATATATACGGGTGTTATTATACATATATATGTATATAATATATATATATTATATATACTAATATATATGTATATTCAATACAAGCCGCGAAACATGTCCTTCAGAAGATCGTCTCTTTAAATTTCTCAAGTTTCATTTAAGTATACAAACACACACACACACACACACCCACCACACACACACAACACACACACACATATATATGAAAACATATCTATATCTACACACACACACGCACACACACACATATATAGTTATAAAAAATATACACAGACACACACACAGACACAGACACACACACACATATATATATATATATATACATATTCATGTATACATATCAATATACATACACACTCACACACATATACATACAAATATAAATACATTATATTCATATCCCTTTGTACGTATATATATATATATATATATATATATTCATATACATCTACATACATATTCAAAAGTTGATATGCATAACACATGTACACACACATAAATACGTTTGTAATCATAGAAGCCATATTCAATATTTGATGCATGCAAACAAATTTATGAACGCAAACCCATACATCTACGACCTAGTAATACGTAACAGTGTAAACATAATTTTACATTTTATTGCATATATATATATATATATGTACACACATGCATATACATATAAATATACATATATATCTACGCATCTATACATCTATATTTATATTTATATATATATATATATATATTTATATATATTATGTAAGCACACACACACACACACACACATATATATACATACATATATGTAAATTTTGTTTACACACACACACACATTTATATGTATATGCATATAAATATATATATAAATATAAATACTATCATATAGTGATAATAATAGTAATAATAGTAATTCTAATAATAATTAATATATACATATATATACACACACAGACGTATATATATATATATATATATATATATCGATATTCTGAACAAATATGTACACACACACACACACACACACACACACACACACGACGACACGACACATATATTATTATATATCTATTTATTCTATTATATATATATATA